TAGTAATAGTTGATGTTTATGTATGGTGATACTGTTTGTTCATTAGGGCGCATGCGGCCGCCGGTAGCCGAGGGCCTTGACTGCAATGCGCGCGCGCCGTAGCGTGTCAAGGGAGCGCTGCTTTCGCCGCCACGCCTGCATCAGGCCTACAGAATCTCGTCATGAGGGTAAAACCTAAATACCTATTTAATTATGCCGTTCTATTAAAATTATCGAGCTGTTAAATTGTTGCGTTAGATAGTTTATACTATGAACTCTAATATTATTTTATGATTTATGACACGTTTTATGACACGGGCAAGCCTGGACAATGCACTTCAATGACTCACCGCTCTGGTTTCCATTTTGCACCTAAGCTAATACGATAACTATTGATATTGTCTATTAGAGGTTTTCATCAACACCATTTCGTCATAACCAGATCTAGACAAGCATTATGCACACATTACACTACCAATACTTACAAAAAGTCTTGGTATGTATAATATGACAATTATACCGCGACAATCATCGTTAATGCATAGTTAAGACTAATTAACTAGTCATAGGTACATTGTTTAATATTTTTCAGTAGATTTCAATTTTGAATTCAACCAAACCAAGTCCAAATGATTGAGAAATATAGGCAACAATATTTTCCGATAAATTATAATGACAAAAAGAAGGAAAGTTTAAAACGAGGAAATAAAACTATGACAGTGTGAGAAAACTAGGTCATTGAGTGTTTGGCTGAACATTGGCACACAATAGGATTTAATAACAGACTGAAGGCAAAAACAATTTAAACATGACCTTCGTACCAGGGGAATTGTGTAGGCTTTTAACTTGTCGTATTACCTGTATGTACATCGCGCATCGCTATGCAACGTGATTTGATACAACAAGATATTATCTTGTGCATGGTGGTCTCATTGTATTTAATTGGCGCCTATTTGCGTCAACAATAATATTAATCTGTACATATAATAAAATTGTAACTAAGCCAAATCTGTACGTAGAATATTTTTTGGAAAATCTTATTGAAATAGACTTTATTATCGATACAGAGGCCGAATCTATAGTTTTTAAAATTTTTGTGTCTGTCTGTCTGTCTGTTACCGCATCACGGAAAAACCACTGGAGGGATTTTGATGAAATTTGGTATGGTGATAGCTGGTTATCCGGGTCAACATATAGGATACTTTTTACCGCGGGAAAATATCTCATTTCTGAGAAAAAATACAAAAACTGCAATGTAAGAGTATACTAATATGTAAAACCTAAGAATTTGGTTTTTTTCATCTGAACGGGGGCGGAGCCGCGGGCAATGCTAGCCTAGTATTTTATATTTATCTATTACTAAATCATCACTCTGTATATAACTACTTTAAACTGTAACTTGTATATTGCAGTATAAATCTTTATTCCTATAAACATATAATAAAACTGTATCGGGCACAATATAGTTGAACTTACATGATTTTTTCATATTCTTAAAGTAGACAATTATTAATTTTTTGTCGAAAATTGAGCGAGATTTGAAATAATGTCAATGAAATGTTTATTAAAAGTCAAAAACTGCATATTAAAAATGTCTAATATATAATATCCATCACAAACCAGTTGTGAAAGGTGTGAAATCTTACCTATGGGTTGTTTAAGCTATATTTGCTTACTCATGATACTACGGTGGATACGAATTGAATAATTCAACACGGAAGATATATATTAAGTGAAGACGTACAACACTAAGACAAAACCGAGCAATCTCCTGAGTGGCAGTAAGATGTGGCAGAGCGAACAAAGTCTAAGCCCCGCCCTCACCCGGCTTCAACAGATAAGCGCACCCTCTGCCTTAAAATGCCTTCGCAGTGCTGAACGATTTCATCTCTACGAATGAAATACCGATATTATCCAAGGTAAGATTCCGTAATGTATATCTAATGAGGAATAAATGACTTAAGCAAAGAATTCATTTTTAAGAATCCAGTCGGAAACATCTGTAATTTAAAAAGCTCTGGGGTGAAATAAGCTATACCACCCGCTGTGTTGAGACATCGAGTGGTGTCCAACGCTACAGGTTTATTTATAAACATAAAATTCAAGTTAAAGAAAGATTATTTACGTTTCAGGTCTTAATTTACGTTATAATTTCTAGGAATCGAACATATCGAGATCACTAGATCTCTTGAGAATCTTTTTTTAATCTTGTGATAGAATTGTTGCCGTCTACAATTTAAAATACTCAGGTAAAAGTAGTGTAGGAACTCGTAGTTAATTTCATTATGTTAATATGATTCGAATAAGTTAAAAACAGGTATTACGGTAGAATGTAGTTCGGAATGGATATCCACAATTATATGTATGTATGTAACATGTATTATATTTTCAGTATTAAAAATATTTCCAGCTCAATAACGCTAAGAGTTGACTTGGATAATTAGGTATAAACACACAAATGTGCTGGTAACATAGCACATACTAAAGAAAGATTAAATTTTAAATCTTAATATAAGTTATTAATTGCTTCCCTTAGTAATGAAGCAACAGAAAAAAAAGCAATCAGATGGGCCAAAATTCCTACCTTCCATCTACGGAGCGAGATGAGGCAACGAAGGGTGCCGCAGATTTGAATTATTCATACCCCTGTACCACTTTTACCAGTTCATAATAGAAGGCGATACGTAGTATTCACAAAAAATATTGTTAAAATTTAATCTAAAAGTTTCATATTTACTTGGCAAATTTTGAAGTAATGCAATAAGTGACCGAATAAGGAGTAGAAATTTTCTGGATAAAAATAATTTCCTATAAAACAATCCATTCAAGTTACACTTTTATTTGTTCAAGAGCTCGATGTTTCATTTAATAAAGATGTCAGATTGCAGAGACGGAAGGCAAACAGCAAAGAAACTTGATTAGGATTCTTTACTATAAAATCTACGTCAATTGAAAAAAAAAGAAAGCAAAATTTCGCGTATACCGTTTTAATTCTACGTATAATTTAATTTTCAACATTCTTCTCTATATATCTCTATGTAGGTACATACATACATATTATACCTTCTTTGTTTCATCAATTGCATTTTTTCTTATTGATGAAATATTTGTAATTTAATTCGATTACGAATGTGATGCCTTGAAATAATTATTTGGATATACGAGTAAATCATGATCACATCGAATGAATAAAAACTTATTACGGCAATTATTTTTCTTCTGAAACTTAAATGTACCGAAATTGAAATATAAAAGAATTTAATTAATTATTTTACTAGTGTTAAAATAGTTTCACTTTGTATTCTAATTTTTCAATAAAACTATTGCGGCTTCTGTTTGCGGGTTCTTTTGTATCAAAGTAAATTGCAACAAAGTAAAAGATTGTCAGACTCAGAAAGCCGCTTAAAGAAAAGAAAACAATCTATCGATTGTTTCATTTGTTTTTCTGTGGAAGGATCGCCTGCCTGCAGTCGGAACTGGAAACCGGTATGATAGTAGCGGGGCGATGAAACGTTCGCGGGTGTTGGCCATAATACTTCTACTTCACAATAACGTAATTATGGTGTTCTTTTATTAGAAGAAATAATATCTTTATTTAAATAATTAATATTATTTATAATATAATATTATATTAACATTTATATGAACAATATAAGTAAACAGATGTTATTTAATTGGAATAATATTTACTAACAAGTAATATGAAAGTTGCCTATCTTAGCAACATTAGCATTAGTTAGCCGCGCAAAATTTATATGTATATTGGATAATCTGGGTGCGCGCAAATGAGAAATGCGTAGGGCTTTCGTTGTGAAAACCCTATAAATAATAGAGAGCAACAAAGGGCAAAGGATAAATGTATGGTATAATATATATGTGCAGTGGGGCTGCGAGTGGGGTCATTGACACGCACCCCGGCCCACAGTGGGGCACAGATAGGACATGACTCATGGGTTACCAGCTGTTGTCGGTAAAACTACCCTTGGCTCAATGCAGCCGCGTGTACATGCATACGCTACTTTATTACACAGCATACGCACATTGTAAACTATTTAATTAGCTTAATCATTGTTTTGTTAGACTTAGTAGGCCGCTGTTCTATTTAAATTTAAAAATTAGATACAACGAGTGCTCACGTACGTCACATTTGTTTAAATTATTAAGTGTAGTTCTGAGACTTAGATAAAAAATATTGTGTTTAAAAGAAGTTGGATAAGCATTGTCATTCGGAAATGCGCCTATGTATAAAGTATAAACATACGTAACAGTGATTGTGATGCAGGGAGTGAAAGCGGCAACATATGCCGACCTCATTCGCTTTGAAGTGTCGATCCGTCGCCATATGGTAGGTACATTCAGAACTTATCTGATACTAGGTCGAGCGAAATAATCAATATCTACATAATTTGAAAAGTTTGACTTTAAAAAAGTATTATAATAAAATACTAAAATCTCTAAAATCATCTTATGAAATATAGTACTGAAGTACCCGTTAAGGATTGTAAGCTTATATATACATATAAGAATAAAGTGGTCAATGGGATGCTGGCTGTATTTAATACTCTACTCTTTTAAAGAGCGAGGAACTAAAACAATCGGCCTTCACCTAGGGCTGGCTGGGCATCGATCCTTTGCCAGTAGTTGTCTGACGAGTGTATTTATAGATAGTTCTTGCCACTATGGAAACTACTATATGTGGGTAGAGGTACGTATAACATATTAAAATATTGTTTTATATTTGTTAGGACATTGCACCTTATATTTGACCTTCAAAAATATTTTAAACAAAGGTTTAGTGGCAAAATGGATATTATATCGTGACTCATATAATTAACTAAGAAACTCCAAAGGCGGAAGCTAACATGTAAGTGACGTAATAGGTATTGTAGTTGTACATTAGAATAAGATCAACGCGAGAACGATCGCTTCAAGGAGAAGCTAAGCATTAGCACTCGGGCGGTTCGAGTGGTTATTAGGTGTTCCCATGAAAACGAATTGTTGTGTCTCGACGCGTCAATAACCTCGGCAGTACGGATCGTGGAGGTTGCAATAAATACAATATCGACGACGCTGGCCTGGTCAAGAGCCTTTCAAGGCCGAGAGGAGAGGCGGGGAGCGCCCTACATCTGTGCTGTGCCTGAGCCATTATTGCCAATTGCATTCCAAAAGGAAAATCAACACAACTTCTTAAACAAGTCTTAAAATAAAACAATTTAAATTATTCTTATGTGCGTATTCATTTTCTTTGAAGCGTTAAATAATTTTTGCATTAAATTGATGAAACGATTGTTAAAAGTCTAAATTTTTTTTAGGATTTCGCCTTTGAAAAGGTATCAGGGTCGCTGAGTTTTGCAAAGATTACATAGGCTAAGGTCGTTGATTTCATAAACCTTTCCATCAACGTTTAACTTAAAACTTGAAACGTTACCAACTGGAACCTTAAAAACTTGTAAAATCCTTGGAAGGAATAATAGCACTCGTGCTCATTTCCTCGAGCGTTTCCGCAGGTAAAAATTAGCACTGCAATAAATATTATCCATACCATTCTTATAAGAATATTTTATTACTGAAAACACGGCACACGCACTCCGCAACGAATGGCAGGTAAACGCGTTAAAAAGAGACGGACACATGTCATTCTTGCGAGGATTCAACAAAGGATCGCTCGGTCGTGACAGGAAGCGTGATGCGGCGAACTCACCGCAGGTCGAGGAAACGGGCGGCCTTTGTTCGCCTTTCGCAGGACATATCGTGTGTTGTTGGTATCACTGCGACACTAGGATGACACTTCACCATGTAGGCGTGTACACCATGCTCACGGTGCGCGGGCCGCGTGCGTCCGCGCAACTCGGACACTACCAGCGGCGGCGAGAGAACGCGCGCACTGAGCGACACTCGGCGAGCTACCTGCGAGTCCGCCTCACTGTTTCCGCGCCGAGGTGGAGCGGAGGTGCGCATCGCGGCGCACGGGCACGGAGCAGGTACGCGGGCCCGCACAGACTCGGACATGGTGGGGTTCACCGTTCATGTGCCTTAAGAGTTTTTAGTGCTCTTTAAAATATAAAAAAAGAGTTCTGGCATACAGGTCACTAATAAAGATATTATTATACATTTTTAGGTTATATTCGCATATTTGTAAATAAAACCTACAGAATCCAGCACGACAATACTACTTGTAAAATAAAGAATATGTAATAAATATTAGACTAACAAAATGTTTATGACGAAGTAAAAAAACAAGCAAGGCAACGTGCTTATAAGATACAGTAAAATAAAAAATTCTGCCATAGGTTTATTACTATAGACTTTATTGTAGATAATTAAATAACAGAATTTAAACAATTTTAATCGACATGCAAATATTACTCATTTAAATATTAAATCGTTTCCGTAAATTAGGCTAACTTTCACTGCTGTGCATCGTAATTAAGTAAACATGGCGATATTGCACACGATTATCTTTCGGATGAACTTTAATGGTTTATGATGCAACATTCATATTTCAATCTTTAAAATAATAATATAATTATTTTAAAAGAAATTGTCATTACGGCCATAATCCATGGTGACTTCTGAGTACATATAAAGTATAAGATTATAACAAAAACTGAAATAGGGTGTAATTTTCTTATTCAATTAACAATTTATTTACAAGTAAATTAAATTACAATTAATAATTTTATTTGCAAGAAATTATTTATAACTAAGATTATATAATAGGTTTCTGGTTTATTATTAAATATGAAATAATTAAAAGCTTTCTTAAAGAATTTTTAAAGTCGTTATTTATGAAATCTAAATATATATAACGCAACACCATGGTCTATAATAATAATAATAATAATAGATTTTATTTCAAGTAACCTAAGACTCATATTTTGTTAGTATACAAAGTGCTTATATTCTATGTTAGTACTTACACTCTAGATACATTTTAGATACATATACATTCACATACATTTATACATTACTAACAAGAAATAGCACAGCAGTGGTTAACATATCTACAATCCAACCTACTGGCAATTACCCTCATGATGCTGTTTGTACTACCCCGTAATCTATCCACCAGGGACCCACATCTTTTGCGCATCGTGGCATAGAAACAATTTATCCTCGCTACTGCGAACATCCCTGATGCACTACAAAAACGGGGCAATCCCAACAGCACCCTAAAGACATTATTATATTGAACACGAAGCGCGTTATATGATTTTTGAGAGTACTTGGCCCACAGGTTGCACGTGTAAAAAGTTGTACAATATGCTCTGAACAAGGTGAGTTTAACACCATATGAACAACGTGCAAACCTACGGGCCAGCATATTCGCTCTCACTGACAACGCCCTTCGTTCCCTCTCTATATCCGTGTCGTCTTTGAGGTCGGGGGTCAATATATGTCCTAGGTATTTAAATTTAGACACCATTTCTAAAGTTACACCATTAAGGGCAATAGGTGGTACATTAAATTTTGATTTACCCTCGGCCTCAAAGACCATCACTACACTTTTTTTCGTATTGTAGATCAGTCCATGTCTTTCTACATAAGCCTCGCATATGGCCACTAGCTTCCTAAGGCCACAAATTGATGCACTCAACAGCACCATGTCATCAGCGTAGCTAATATTGTTTACACAAACACCATTCACGTAACAGCCGACCCTGGTACTGCTGAGCTCAGCGATCAAATCGTCCACGTATAGATTGAAAAGCGTTGGTGAACTTAATCCCCCCTGTCTCACCCCGCACTCCAGCCCATACGGCCTTGATAAGGCTCCTGCCCATCGTACGTTGTTGACCTGGTTTCTGTATCTATATCTGTATCTATATTAGTTTCTTAAAAAATATTTGAACGTTCAAAAGAAAAACTTAATTGAATGACGTACAACGCCGACCGTGCCGTCACAATAGCTTGACTATGTAAATGGCGCATAATAGCGACGGTATCCTGAACGTTTCCGTGTACTTTCTACTTATTCTCTCAGCTCGGAGGATACAAAACAGGACGCGATGAGAATTCCCGCCGGATCCCTAAACGACCCTCTTGTTTTTTCCTCTACCGAAATATCATTGTTGCCTCACTCGCCGTTGTTCTCTGAGTATTTCACTTTATTATATATACAAGTAACTGACAAAACGAGCGCGCCTTTCAATTCATGTTTTTAAATGGTAAACCTTTGCTCAGCAGAAGATTTGTTAACATCTGACACGGCTTTTAATATTTTGTTCTAAAAGGACATTTTCATTACAGAATATAAAATACTTAAATCAATTAGGTGTGTACCTAATATTTTTATAAATTAATAAGTTCGACATTTTTAATTAAATAATATGTTAATGTGTTGATAGGGCGAATTTTTTCCATTCAAATTCCTATGTAACAAGTTCTGATAGGATTAGCTCAAAGCTTAATTAAATATATTAGCATAGTGACCGATATATAATGTTTAATAATTTCCTACCACTTACAACGCCGGGACACTGCCAAGTGCCAACATGCTTTTTTGTGATACTTTTAGTTGTTAGTCTAAAGTCGTCGGTGGCAAGTCGTGAGTCAGACAAGTTGACTTTATTTTATGTTCAAAAAAGGATCAATTTTAGTGTAACTACTTCCTAGTGTCCTTATTTGAATAATTTTTAATTTTTTCTTCTTTCTGTTAACACGAATCATGATGATAATCATAATGATGATCATGATCATAATCATGATCATTATTTTTAAAATAGACAGTAACTTAATATCAATCAATTACCTGTCAATATACTAATTATAAAACAATAAATAAAAAATAGTCTCACTATTGTTACAAAATCTTAATTATGTACTCGAAACATATAAAAAAATTGTAACTCGAATCTGTACATTAAATATTTTTTGTCTGTCTGTTACCGCATTACGAGAAAACCACTGGACAGATTTTGATGAAATTTGGTATGATGATAGCTGGTTATCCGGGTCAACATATAGGATACTTTTTACCGCGGGAAAATATCTCATTTCCAAGAAAAAATACAAAAACTGCACTGTAAGAGTAAGTATACTAATATGTAAAACCTAAGAATTTGGTTTTTGTTCATCTAAACGCGGGCGGAGCCGCGGGCAATGCTAGTATTAAATAA